ATCAGGCCGAAGCCGGGCGTCTGGCACTGCGTAAGTGGTGGTCAGACAAACGGGCCGGCCTAGGCACTTGCGTCAATGACTTCTTCTACTGTGCCTCGCATGCGAGGCTATGGAGTCGAGGGGAAGTTACACCCGCTGGCAGTGCCGTGGTTTTTGGTAGGGCTCCCACTCCTGCGCATCTTCACAGGTGTGGAGTAATCGCTTCCCCAGAATGTGATTGCGGAGCTCCGATAGGGGATGTTAGACATCTCCTTCGTTCCTGTCCGCTCCTAGAGCATGCTAGGAAACGGGTCAAAGGTGGTGTACCCTATCACTTCTATAAAATGGTTGTCGATTTAAAGCGGCGCAAGGCCTTCAATCGGCTGTTTTTGGCCCTCATGCAGCATCTAGATGCTCGCAGGGGTTTGCTGTAGCTGCCACACATTCTCGGGCTGGTGCAGCTGTATATCGTTTCCAAGTATTCGCTCCGCACTGTATTATTTGCATGTTGCTGTAAAGAAAAAAAAGGAAAAAAAAGGAAAAAAAAGAAAAAAAAAGAAAAAAAATAAAAAAAACAGAAAAAAAAAGCAGCAACAACAGCTGGGGCAGAATCGAGCCGTTCTAAACACTCGCTGAGGGATGAAGGCCAAGAGGAGTGAAGGGATCAAGAGACGAGGTCGATGGCCGCAGCCTTAGAGCAGGAGAACGTGATTGTTGTATCATGTATTGCTCGTAATTAAGGACCGTTTCAATCTGCCACATCAGCGTGCGACAGTCCTAAGTTCGGTCGATTCCCGAAGGAGTGGTACTTAACCCACTTTTCCCGACATTTGCGAGAAAATCTCCGAAATAGGGACGATTATGGTACGAAAGTGGTTCGCGGAGCGAAGCGCTTCCCGAAGGGAAGCTTTTTAAAGGGGGGCGGGCGCTACTTGGATTGGTTCAAAAATGGATTGGTACAAAAGTGGCTGGATCGTCTATTCCGCACAGGCAGGGCCGCACAGGCGGACGACAACAAAAATGTAGCTGACAATGGCCGAACGGAGTCGATTTACATATAGCGAGCAATCGATACAATGCAGCTAGCAGACTGGCCAACAGGAGTGGGCAGATCCTCCTACCACAAGAAGCTGTTTTGTGCGCTCACCCAGGTCAAAAACACCGCTAGGAAACATTCGAGGTAAAGATAAGTAGCAGATAATGATCAATCATGCTCATCTTTTCTCTTGGCTAGCACGAGGCGGATTGGAAACCAGAGATCTTCTAACGGGATATATGACATGTGCTGACCTCGTGCGAGCAAGATACTCCAGGAAGAACATGGCGTGAGGGACGCCTCTCCTTGTCTCTACTGTCTGAAGTTTCATGAGACTGTGGCTTTAGTGAAGTAGGACCAACTCGACAGGACTTACTAGATTCATTTCGAGTATTTATCGTGCTTCAAGGGTTCTTATTTGGATCTTAATTTTCAGTCTATTCCGTCACTATAACTCTGACATGGATATGACTCCTAGTAGAGAAAGCTCTGTTGGGTTGCACGCGACTCCGTCGTCGATAACTTCTAACGATGAGTGTGCAGGGAAGAGGAAACCGCATCTCTACATTTGTTTGGTGATCTCGGTGGGACAGAAGGTTACGAACATGGTGAAGTAGGAAGTGTAGTATCTATTCTTATCATCATAACTTACATATCCGCATCAAGTTTCAGTTGTTCATTGTTATATGCTGCAGTTAGTCGATAATTGAGTATTATGTCTCTTCTAGCCGAGTCACTCTGGGTGCACCAGTGTGACCCTAGCATTCCCACTCATCTATTCAGTTTAAGTAACTGAGAATGGCTATCCTTACACTCTTGTTGTTTGTGCTCTCTTGTTGTTAGCTACGCCCTTACACAGTTAGTGAGAGAGCCTTAACTCTGTTAAGGTGTTAGGAACCTTACTCCTAAATTAAAGGTGCACCTTTGGGAAACTGTCATGTGAAACATGTCCTGGATTAAGGCAGAAATCTTTGGGAGGAGCTAGTGCCTTGGGAATCATGATGAATCAATCATCTATCGCAGCTGAGTGTCCACACCTGGAGCAAGGCTTTTAGTTGTGTGAGAATTTGTATTCATATGTTGACAAATGTAAAACCATCGATTGAAATATGCCTTCCCCCCCTTTAAACAGCACAACCGATCATCAATCATGATGGAGCTCAGTCCTTATCGTCGCCTTTGGATTGACTGGGAGCACTGGATATCCTGGGAATTGAACCAGAGACTTATGAGTTCACTGAACATGCGCAGTGTCGTGCATGTATTACATTATCATCGCATCTATGACTATTAAAGTAGACTAGGAGATGATTTGGAAACCATTCAGGCCATGCTACTTGAAGCCTGAGATGGCATCTCTACAAGCTGCTCAGGGGTTAACAGTGGTAGGGATATGTACTCCCGAGTTGGCCCCGACTATAATCACTACTTCTAATGGAGTTGGGGGCGAGCGAACTATACCGCTGCGTCGTCGTCGGAGTCAACCAACACGAATGTAGGTCGACGGTGGAATGTATGCCAGGTTGGTAGTCGTGCAGGTCACGAAAATCTGTAATTCTGTTATTCGATGTGGAGTTCGCCTCACTCTTCTAGTCTGGGGATCTGTTGTGTAGTCTGTACACCTTCTTGATGCTCATCAGGTGGCCCGTCCAGTATGGCACTGAGATAGCGGCACTCTTCCTGGTCATGATAATCCTCTTGTATGGTCAGTATCAGCAGCAGCAGCAGCTTCCTATAGTCCAAAAGCCTTTCAGTGGGTTCTCCATTAGTGGCAGGGGCCTGAAGGAACTGGTGGATTACTAGTGGTAATATACGGGACATCAGTGCCACACCGATTCTCGCAGTTGAGCTAACGAGAATGGGGCGCTCAAGACCTCTATGTGGTACTGAATACTGTTGTAGTTGACCTCAATGTTCACTCTTGGTCATCACAAAGAGGTGTGGTACGACGGCCTCCGCGTTTGCCATCTAATATACCTCACTCGCCCACAATTCATCACCTGGGGGGGGGGCGCTCAGTTGTAGCTCGACAGTGGCTAGCTCGAGTGGAAGATGAATGTCTAAGAGTCGGTCTGTGGTGGGGCGGCCCCACTGGGGCCAGGGGCACACCATGTGGTAGCGACCTCATGCGGGAGAATGGTCAATAGAAGATGCCGATTCCAAAGCTATATCTTAATAAGGCTACGAGCCACGGTGTAGGGCTGCCTTTGGGGTTTCGAGATCAATTCGGAGTGCACGGTTATGGCTACCTGCATGATGCATCACAGTTCCTTGTGACGATCTCATCATCAGCTACTATTCATGTTGCGTTATTGGAGTATACTGGGGCACCGGCGTCTGAGGTTTTTTACATGGTACTCCGCAATGTAGTCGTCTACCATGATATCGAGAGGGATGTTGGCTCTCGGTCGAAGAGTTCTGGATGATAATGCTGTTGATGCCTTAGTGTTGACCTCACAGCTTTAATGGGCTCGGGCTTTCATTGAGGTGTGGTATCATTCAATCGCCCTCCAAGGTGTGGAAGGGTTGTCAAGAAGCTCATCAACGTGACTTCTCGTAGTAGTAGTAGTAGTAGTAGTAGTAGTAGTAGTAGTAGTAGTAGTAGTAGTAAATAGTATGGTGATATTTCGTCAATTCTGTCTGTATATAGTTCCAGTGAATAGGGGAGTCCAGAGGGCTGTAACTATACGGCTATAATGTTGGGGGAATCTCGTGGATATGGCGTGGATATGAATATAGTGGAATTCGCGTTGAGGTAGTCTGAGGGAAATGTCTCTGCGACTTGTTCATCTCAGCTATCCTTATTGACCTCGTACTTGCATCTGATGCTGTGCAGGTCGTGTATGGTCTGTGGGATGTCGGCTATAACACGCCGTGGCTGAGCGGATAACATTCGTATGTAGATCAGTGTAGTACTCCCTTGCTCGTTTTTGCTGAGCCATGTTGGAACCCACCTGCTGGAACCCGACAAAAAGTAGTTGGGAGGTACTTGGACCCACGGATGAACCGAAGGCATTCGGCTTCATCTGAGTCCTATCGTATGA